AACCCCTCTGGGCAGCCTGTTCCAGGGCTCCGTCACCCTCAGAGGGAAGAAGTTCTTCCTCATGTTCAGCTGGAACTTCCTGTGCTTCAGTTTGTGCCCATTGCCCCTTGTCCTGTCGCTGGGCACCATTGAAAAGAGCCTGGCACCATCCTCCTGACACCCACCCTTCAGATATTTGTAAGCGTTTATTACGTCCCCTCTCAGCCTTCTCTTCTTCAGGCTGAGCAAGCCCAGCTCCCTCAGCCTTTCCTCATAGGACAGATGCTCCAGTCCCCTCATCATCAAAAATCTTTCTTAGTCATCTCCATACTGTAAATAAGTGAAAAGTGTCATCCTGCGCCAGGGGGTCGTCTGCTAGAAAGCTGGCTGAGATGGCAAAGCTCTGAGGAATAGACGACTTCAATCGTAAATGCTATTAAACAATGGATAACTTTAAGGTCAAAACCAGGTCTTAGCTTTGGAAAGACTCAGTATCTTGGACAAACAAGATCTGTATTTGCACATGTTGACATGAAGCAGGTAGTAAATCTCATGCTTGGGGCTGTGAACTGATTACCCAGGGAAGGAACTTTTCCCGCAGTGTTGCACCACTGGCAGTGTTTTGCTTTCCTCAGGAGAACTCTGTTATCTGCTGTTGGCTGGCGGGAGGGGAGGCAGAGGCAGGGGCAGGGAAGGAGAACGAGAACTATCTCCTGCGTCTGACAAGCAGACCTGCGTGGTTCACAGGCCTGTGAGGACCATGGTGCTGGGACGTCGGAGTCCCCTGGGTTCCTTTCTTCATGCAGCTTGTGTGTGGGACAGCCCTGAGCAGGTTTACTGCTGCCTGAAAGGGAGTAGCACCGTGTGCTACTCGTCTGGGTGCTGAGTTTTCATTCATTGATGTTGAGAAATGCTTTGGGACCTTAGGTGGTGGTAGTGTCAAGACTACTTGCGAAGTTGCCTCTTCCAGGGCTGGCCTTGTCTTCCGGCACCTCCAGCTGCAGGTGATTTTTTTGTTCCTCCTTGTGAGCCCAAACAGCATAGAAGCCTGCAAGAAGGTGCTGGCACACCTAGGTGGACTGTGGCAGCTGAGGGAATGGGAGTGTGGCTCAGCTGCGTAGATGCAGATGGTCTCAGATCTCGTATGGACTTGCTGCATTTGTCCTGGATGAGAATGGAGGTGTTCAGGTGTGGTGTAGGGTAAACGTGGCTCCAGTGGCTCGAAGGTGTAATAGCTGGGTCCCTGTTACTCAGAGGATCTCCATGCCTTGCTCTGTTTTAAAGGTCAGATGTGGTCTCGGATTCTGTGGTGGTTAATGGGTCCAGTAGTAGCTGGTATCTGTCCATCAGGCACATATTATTGAGAGAAGAGGAAAGGAAGACTGCCTTACGGTGAACAGTTGTCTTAATGAAACCTTCAAAAGTTACTAGAAGGAAGAGCAGAGATCTCTGTGAAATACAGGCTTTTCAGCAGCAGAAATTTGGACAAGAGGGAGTCTGGGCAATGACTTCTAATTTCTCCAAGTGAGGTTATGAAGCTGAGCTTGGAAAGTCTTTGTCAGATTTACAAGCCATGACGAAAAGCACCCGTGGATACAGAAGAACACAAAGGCGTTATGTTCAGTCTTATTTCAGCTCTGGTTCTTTGGGGAAGCGGGGGTGGTGGGTTATTTTACCTCTCCTGAGCATTCGGAATGTGCGTGGTGTTTGAGTGTCTCTTGGAGGCGCAGCTCCCACCGATGTGTCTGGCTGCCCTAAGCCAGCTGGCACGAACAGATGGAAGTTCTGCCCTCAGCAGCGATGTCGGTATGCAGCGTATCTGCCTTTGCGCTGCGCTCTCCGTCGCACGGGCGCGAGTGTTTGTGTAGCGGCTGTGCGAGCTGCGG